GGAGTCTCCCGCGTCCTGGGGATCCTGCGGCGCTGCCCGAGTGGGAGCCCCGGGCGCGCCCCCGAAGGGGGGCCCTGTCAGGGCGGTCACCGCGCCGGGCGCGCGGTCAGCGCGGCAGGGACCTGCCCGCGAGCGCAGCGTGGGGCTGCGGGATGTGCCTTGCACCGCAGAACAGCAGCGGGACACGCTCAATCAGATTTTGCCAGTCCCTAATAAACGAGGGATTATAGTGGCCATCATTTTCTGTAAGTTTGAACTTCATTTGCACCAAAACCAGGATTTTTTTTTCGGTAATTAATGCTAAGGCTGTCTAAGTTACTAATATGCATAAATTATGTTTCACATATGTCAAATATTCTGACCACGAAGAAGTAGAAGTGGTCAACCACAATTGTGTATGTGTAGGAAACTTTTTTTTTAATGCTGTGCTGATTTAAAAGTCTAATTTCACATGATGACATCATTGTAGTATCACCGTAGGGTATGTGGGGTATGAGGTTGACAATTCACAAATAATAAACCTCTAGAAATCTAGAGATGCTTGAGAAAATTACGTTCAGGGGGAATGTATGATATATCTTGAAGGGTATTTTCAGCTTTTATAGGGTTTAATTCAAAAATAAGCTTTTGCAGCAATTGATATATTGATTGATTATCAGCTGAAGCACTTGCATTTTCTTTCCTCTTTTTTTTTTTTTTTTCCCCTCCAGGTACCTCATCAGTGTCTTGCAATGATGTAGACTTGCTGTTACTACAATTTAAATACGTGCATTCTTAGCTGTACACTACTGTTTTTCAGTATCATTCAATGCCTAACATTTCAGAAGATGAAAAGGAGAATGGTTCTGGAAACAATGGAAACACGGAGAACAGACCTGGGAAGGAATCCCCGGAAGCGCCTCTTCGTGATCCCGTGAAGCCGTACCGCGTGTCAGAGGCCTCCGCTGCATCCCTGGTTTCCAGGGGAGACGGGCTTTACCCATGGGGATGTCCTGTGACTCACACAAGAGAGAAATTTTATACCATTTGCTCAGACTATGCCTTTTTAAACAGAGTAACATCTATTTGTAAAAGCCCAAGTGCTTCAGTTAGTGCCTGCCTGTCGGGCAGTGCTGCCTTAAGCGTGGGAAATAGCACACCCGGCCTGCTTGGCGTTCAGGCGGGTGTTTCGGAGCTCATCTACAGCGAAGATGCTAACTTGGAGAGCTTGTCTGACAGCCTTGGGAAGCTTCCCCTGGCGTGGGAGATCGACAAGGCGGAATTCAACAGCATGGCCCCGGGTCTGAAGAACAAAACAGGTAGGAGGCTGAGCACTCCGTGGGTGATGGAGACTGGTTTC